AAATTTGATTTGATCTGCTATGAAATATTATTGCACAAAAGATGAAGTTAATAGTTACCAAAAAAAAAATCCAAGTGAATTCTACAACGCCCTTCAGTTTGAGAGAAATTGTGCCACTGATTTGATTGGAACTGCTTCGCTAATGAAATGATTCAGAATACTGGGTAACTCAAATTTACCAAAAAATAAAAATCAGAATACGAGATATCGACTTTAATTCTTGAAAGTTTTTAGGTACATTGCACAATCTGAGAGTTTCGATTTGTTTGTAATTATGCGTAAATTATCCTGAACAAACACCACAAGTCAGCGTTATCCGGAGATGATAATTCCTAACTCTAGTATCGCTTATTTATTTCTAATTCAGTTCCCTGTTCTTAGGTTCTCATGCCACAGTTTGCTTTTTCTAAGCTTTTGATAGCATCTAAAAGTATAGGGTCATATACCGATCCTAACAATTTTAAACAATGTGCATTTATGGCAGTTCAGCAAGGTGTGTTGAGCGACACTATTACTGATCTCCAAAATTGGGTGTGTGGAGTATTCTAATTTATACTTTTTGCCACGGTACTCGCAGCTTATTCCATGTATCCCCGACTTTTTATTCTCCACTATCTTGTGATAAGGGTTACGTAACACTTTTTGAAGTGAACAATCTGTTTTTATGTTCAGCTCTTTAAAAATTCGATATAATCTACTCGTGTGTTTTGGTTCATATGGAGAAAATTGGTCTAATCCGTTAGTAAAGTTGTCGTTCTTATGAAACATCAATCATTTTTAACTCGGTGTTTTTTTTTTAAGAAAATTTGTAAGATTTACGATCATGATTCTTGAATTCAGTTTCCTTCTAAACCTGTGTACTATGTTTGAATAATGCTCATTGTGTATTTCATCAGTTCGGACTTCCATTGTCTAATATAATTTCAATTGATTTGAAATCCCTGAAAAAAATAAAAATATTAACCGAAAATAACAATTTTAAAAACAAAAAACTGAAATTACAAGGAAATAACATACAAGTTACAACCAGAAAATAAAAAAAAATAATGAAAGCTGGAAATTGAAAAATTAAAAAATATTATTAACAAAAAAGATGAAAAATAAAAATAAAAATTAAAAGATTCCAAACCAAGTTACGTCACGACGTTTCGATTGTTAGTATCCACAATCGTCTCCGGGTGATAACTGGACTTATTCCTCCGAGATCTGACTATTTATAGGTGTTGGTCGTTTTTCGCTTGATAAGAGATTTCCATATGTTACGTATCTCTACGCTAGCTTGACTAAATGCGTTGTTGGACAACATGTACGCGGCTTCCTTCAGTTTTTTGTTTTAATAAAATTGTTATTTTTGCTTAATCTTTTATTTTTTTCAGGGATTTCAAATCAATTTATCTTATATTAGACAATGGAAGTCCGAACTCATGAAATACACCACGAAACATTGTCAACCACCTTCAAACAAATGCTCATTGTATCAGCTAAGTCGCCGATACAGTTTCCTCAATATCCATATCTTTGATATATTCCTGATACCTCCTACCATTATCCACAACTACACTTCCTTGTCTAAAGGCCTTGTTATGTTCTTGATACTATTTTGGGAAAAATATTATTAGGAATATAGCTAAAAGCAATGCGTACCCTTCAGTCACACTAAATAAGTTAATAAGAAACCTAAAATTTGAGAAGCATCCTGGCGAATCTTCGACTTTTTAAAAAAGATGAGTCAAAATGCATTGTTGTTTCATATAAATCCAGATGCACTAACGGACTAGATCGAATTTTTAAAAAGCTGAACATGAAAGTAGCTTTCAAAACTGCTCGTTTATTTCAGCAAAGATTTGACAACCTTAAAGACAAGTTGTGGAGAAAGAAAAGTCATGAAATAAGTTGTGGGGATGTCACAAAAATTATATTAGTCAAACTGAACGAGTTATTAAAATTTGTTTCAACATCCGTTTTCGGAGAACGGAAAAGTTTAGTATTGCTTAACAAACCTGGAAAACGCTCATAGAAAAAATAAACATTCTGTATATGACTATTGGATTCTTTCAAAGTCTTGAAATAACAAATTATGGCATGAAAGGTATAATCAGTGACAAAGATCCCGTCCCAGAAAGCTCATGTTCACTTTTACATGATCACTCTGCGAGAACTTTCACGAGAAATTTCTGCTAATTTACACTGCTAATTTTATAAATGTGTAACTATTTTAAATTGAGCATATTACCGAGATTCATCAATGTCTAGTAAATAATTGAAAATGATACTTGATTTTCAATTTGTTTTTTTGTTCATATATAAATAAAATGGCTGCTCTCGGTAGTGGTAGTGGATTAGATAAAGTAAAGAAACTATGCAAATACTGGCTTGAAATGCGTTGGCTGTGACGCAGTTTACCATAATGCATGTGCTAACAGAACGAAAACTTGTTGTGGAGAGACAAAGAAAAATTCATATTGGACATCTACATGACAGAAGAAGCCTACCTGACTGAAGAAAATAACATTCTGAAGCAAATTATTTCGGATAAAAACACCATAATTAATGACAAAGATGAACTCATTCGACTACTAAATGAGAACATCGCATTTCTAGAAGATAAACTGAAACACATAGAAGTACAAAATCTTGAGTCACAACAAACTGGGGGTACAATAAAAAGTATGGAGCTCATTGATAAAGTAAATGTTACAAAAACATACAAGAAAAATGATACGTCCAAAAACATACAAACTAAAACACTGAGTAAGCCAACAGATAAAAACATCGCTGATCTAAAACCTACAAATGAACTTGATACAGAGTGACCCATCTCTCAAACTGAAGGAAAGTGGCAAATGAAATATTGAAAGTTCAGACTCAACTGAAATTTGATGAAGTTGTCAAATTGCAAATACACCTCAGAATGGCAACAAGTACGAAATACTCTTAAAAATTTTAAATTAATTTCTATTTATTGCCGACATAATGATATACATGGAGGTACTTGTATCTACATAAATAATTTTTTTGATGGCAAAGAAATCATCGAAATTAAACAGCTATCTCAAGAATTTCACTGTGAACTTGCTGCATTATTCTCAAAGAAATTCAATTTAGTTGTATTATCTGTATACTGATCACCCTGTAGTAACTATGATTTTACTAAGTTTTTAAATATAATGACAGAAGCCCTCATCTATATAGAAAGGCATTATAGCAGAGCTAACGTTGTTATATGTGGCGATTTCAATGTAAATTTCCTAAATCCGGAGAAGAAAACGAACTTAGTCACTCTGGTGACATTCAGTCACCATAGTGATGGGAAAGTCTAAAACATGCCCTGATAACATATTCTCAAATATAGAGAGTTCAAATGCAGAAGTTCTTAGTGTTCCACTGGCAGATCATTATCCTCAAATCTTCACATACAAAATCAGATGTGACAAAAATACTAATAAGAAATATGAGCTAAACTTTTCCAACAAAAATATAAGTGTATTCAAAACTCATCTCACTGGAGAATCATGGTCTGACGTGTACAGTAAATCGTCATCTGAGGAAATGGCGCTAAAATTTCACGAAATATTCATGACACATTTTGAAAATTCTTTTTCTATCATTGAATCAAGATCACTGATATGTTGATAACATATCTATATATATGTATATATAGATATCTGTGCAGCAGAGGCAAATATTTGTGCCTCTGCTGCAGTGGTTTGACTCTAATGAACTGTATATGAATGAAACAAAAACAGAAATTTGTGTATTTTCAAACTAGCGCACTGATGCCATTTCTACATCGGAAAGTATAAAATTTTTGGGAGTTCATCTTGACTCGTCTCTTGCCTGGACCACCCACATCAGTAATCTTTGCAACAAAGTAGCAAAATCTGTTTATGCCATCAGGCGAATAGCTACAAGGGCAGGTCAGAAAGCAGCTCTAATGACATACTACGCCTTGTTCCACTCAGCAATGAGTTATGGGTTGCTGTGCTGGGGTAATGCAAGCTACACTCATCTTCAAAGAGTATTTGTCTTGAAAAAAGCTGCTGTACGTAGCATTGTAATAGCTGAATATAATGAACACTGTAAGCCTTTTTTTGAGAATACAGGAATCATGACTCTATTCTCACAAATTATCTTTGACAATGTTCTGCATGTCAAAAAAAATTATCACTCACTCGGATATTCACTCCTACAAAACACGCAGTGGAAATAATATTGTGCCCCTCTTAAGAAGATTGGATAAAAGCAAATCAATTGGCATCACTTGCTTCAATTTACTTCCTAAAAAAATTAAACATCTGCCACTCAGACTTTTCAGAAATACAGTGAAAAAACTTTTCACTAAAATGAGCCTGTATTATACTCTGAGTGAGTTCAATGTTACTCTTAAGGATTCGCTTGGAGATACCTAGTGCATCTTTTCCACTTTTTATTCCTGTTTCTTTATACTTTAAGAATTTTTAAAATGCATTTCATGCACTACATTTAATTTTATTGTTACATTTACAGCTTCTTTATGTAACTATGCAATGTAATAGGTGACTTGTCCAAAATATTTGTACTTTTTATGGGCGCAATAAAGTTCTATTCTATTTTATTAGGATTCTTAGTTAGGATCATTTCGTGAAAAAGCCTTTTGGGCTTTTTTTTCTAAATGTTAAACTTTCGCTTGATCAAATTTAATTTTGTTTCCTGTTTCAATAAAATGTTGAGTTAGTGCACATGATTTTTTTTTCAATCTTATATCACTTTTGTGTGAAGTTATTCTGATTGATCATGTTCTGGAAGTTTTTCCACTTATGTCTCGCTTACGTTTACGCAGTTATTTTGTCTTCTATCGAGTACCGCCTGCCCGGTACTGACGATGCCCAATAGCCTGAAATAGCCTGTGCTATAATAGCACAGCCAGTTATCGAAAGCGCTCGCAATAAATTTATTTTAAATGAAATTTTCTATGCATGCAATTTTATGTGAAATACTTGAATATGGTAATTCATTTTCAGGAATAATTCAAGAAATAATTGGAGCTTTTCCTGGTATAGACGAGGCTATGAGTTACGCTGAAGTCATGAAACTCATCAAAAGCATGAATTTTTCCGTTGTTGTTTTTGATACAGCTCCTACTGGTCACACGTTACGACTATTATCATTTCCTCAAATCGTTGAAAAAGGGCTGGGAAAACTGCTACGACTGAGACTGAAAGTTTCTCCACTAATTTCACAACTGAGTGGACTTCTTGGACATCCTGACTTTAATGCCGACAATTTGACCTCAAGGATGGAAGAAATGTTGAATGTTATCAAACAAGTTAATGAACAATTTAAAAATCCCGAACAGACAACATTTGTTTGTGTATGTATAGCAGAATTTTTGTCACTTTATGAAACGGAGAGACTGGTTCAAGAATTAACAAAATGTAAAATTGATACACATAATATTGTTGTTAATCAATTATTGTTTAAAAAGGATACTCACAATTCTTGTAAAATGTGTTCTGCCAGATATAAAATTCAAGAGAAATATTTGGATCAGATCACAGACTTGTATGAGGATTTTCATATTACGAAGTTACCTCTTCTAGAAAGGGAGGTGAGAGGATCTGAAAATGTGAAAACGTTCTCCGAATTTTTGATGAAACCTTATTACATGTAGCATTGTTTAGTGTGATCTCCTTTTTCTTTCAATATAGAAATGTTTATATTTAGATGTAATTAAATTTTCATCTATGCCAGTTTTTTCATAGTGAAAAATGACCTTAAATATTAGCAGATTTTTTTTCTTTAGTATCATCGTCATCGCAATGTTCTATGTGTTCTGAATAAAGATGTTAATAAATCTCCAAGCTACTAGGGGGCATCATGGCTATTCGCAGGCCTGTCAACAATGTGATTTATCAAAATCAATACAACTTCAACTAGAAAAACTCTTGAGAAAATATCTGGTCGAGGTTGTGTTTCGAACAAACAACTTTTTAATCGTGAGTCGGGCTCACTCGTACTACCACTGTGCCAATTCACCGCTAAAAAGGAAACACTTTGGAAACGAAGGTAGCTATGAAAACTGGTCCCAAACAATGTACCATTCTAAACATGCCTACACTCACTGAATAGTGATGAATGGCTGTTATTTTATTATTGAATCTGGTTGACAATATTTTTTCTGATTGAAGTTCGGATATCCGTGTTAGGAATCACACGTTAAAAAGGTAAGACCTCGTTAATCCTTAGCTCGCACAAGTTTCGACTTCTGAGGGTTGTCGTTCGTAGGAGTGCGACAGCTGGTTAACGGATCCATAGTTTAAAAAATATTAGCAGAGAGAAATTTCCAAGAGAATATGAATCAATAAAGAATTAGAAATAAGATCAAAATATTCGGATGAGTTACTTGAAATAAACTGATAGTTCAAGTACAAGCTTTAAAAAATACAGAATAAACTTCCAATTGAATCTAACCCATCAATTCATTGCATTCCACATTTTATGTGATGTAAAATTTTGTCGCTAGATTTACCTGTTTTTAAAAAACTTGTTTTTGTTTCTTAGAATTATTTATGTCAAACTCATGTTACACAGCTAAATCTCGTGATAAACTTTTATATCTAATTCATTACGTTCCACAATCTACATAATATAAAATCTTGTCAAGAGGTCTACCTTTTTTAAAGAAAAAAAATGCGTTTATATCATATTCATTCATTTTAATTAATTCTTAACTTATCGCTGTACATGTTGCCAAGTGTGATCATTTCAATTAGTACGTCATTGTTGCATGGTCGGTCCCTTCAATAAATTTTGTAGCACCGTCAAGCTATCCCCTATGAGTTATAACTTTTAAAAGGTGCTATATAAACCACCTTGTTTTTTGCCATTTTGAATTTTTCCTCACGTATGTACGTGTTCTGAAACTGCGGTCAGCACTAATAATCTGAAGTTCGGGTTGAACTGCGTCTGGTGTTTTCAGTTGTTCAACGTTTCCATTTCAACTTTGAAGCCAGTGAGATCCCATTGTAGTTACATATACAGGGTGTCCCTGGACTTCCTCTTTTCCTCTCGGGAATGTATAGATGGGGTCAAAATATCACCAGTACTTCATATAACTTTTAAAAAGTTATATGAAGTACTGGTGATATTTTGACCCCATCTATACATTCCCGAGAGGAAAAGAGGAAGTCCAGGGACACCCTGTATATATACTTATATTTTGATATTAGTTAACAAGACACTCAATAAACTTCATATTTGTATAATTTCCTGAACCGCATGTCACGCAGGTAGCCATAGCTGCATCTGTGGTGATTTTAAATTTTCTTGTGAACACAAGATCTTTTAACCATAAGTGCCACAAATGTGCGGCTGGATTCTGCTGATGGCTCTGTGCATTTGTATTTCTTTCTTTTGGTAACCAAATGTTGCCAACTGTACACTTGGCTGCACCATACTGACAATGGGCCAAAACACGTGTCTATGTTTTGCCAATTTCTTGAGTACTATGTCTAGATATGCGTGTATGCAGAGATCCAGATAATGTCCTAGCATATGGTTTTCTATACCAAAATGGTATAGAAAACCATATGCTAGTAATAGGTTACTGAACTACCATTCTCACCATCCAACGAAGATGAAAATAAACTTATTCCTAACCATGAAGAACAGGGTGATCAATCTAACACATCCACTTTTTAAAGACGAATGTATTAAAGAATTAAAAGGTATTCTTCTTGAAAATTCATATCCTTGCAAACTTTTGAATAAACTACTTTTTAACTCTTCTTCCACAGTCATGAATACTTTTCCAAACAATTTAAATATTTCCATAAATAATAATAAATCAAAATAATAATTCAAATATTTCAAATAGTGGAGAGATACCTTTTCAAGAGTAAACATATCAAATTTGCTCAATGCATCGTTACCACCACTAATAGTCTTTTTTCCAAAATTAAAACTCCATTGAAAACTTCAGAAAAGTCAAATGTAGTATATGAAATTCCTTGTCATACATGTGATAAGACATATATTGGACAAACATCTAGAATTTTATCTGGACGCATAACTTCACATAAATGTGATTGTAACACAAATAAAACCACCTTTGCAGTTGCAGAGCATGTCATTAGCACTAAACACACAATGAATTACACCGAAGTTGAAGTTTTGTGTACTGAAAGCAATTTACAAAAACGGTTGTTTAGAGAAATGTTCTTTATCAAAAGGAATAACAATAACATGAACAAATACACTGAGCTCAACAACCTCGGCAATATTTATCATTACATCTTAAAATTGGAACTAATTCCTCCAGGTTCCCCAAGCAACAGATAGTATTTGGTTTTGGACCTAGTGCTGAGTAATTCAAAAAAACCATTCACTTCATTTGTGAGTGTTTGGCAGCACTGTACCCAGATTCAGATACTTTTGATTTTGTTTGTGTCAGCCATGATGATGGTGTGCCTTTTGGTAATCCTGTTTTGTTGTTTTACTGTCGAATAATCATACTTAAAATGTCTTATAATGTCAAATTTCAAATATTACCTCTCTCTTTATGGTTGCTATGCTATGGTTGTATGGTGCCAAGCATGGCCAGTGAAATAATTTTGAATGCTTAAATAAAATAAGTTTTTTGTCTTTTTCTCTGAAACTCTAAAATTGAATGTGTGACACTTTTCTACATGATGAAAAGTATTAACTTTGTTTTTCTCATTGCCACGTCTGACTTTTTACTATATGTCAATTATCAAATTTCAAATATTTCCTCTCTCTTTATGGTTGCTATGCTATGGTTGTATGGTGCCAAGCATGGCCAGTGAAATAATTTTTTTTAAATGTTTAAATAGAATAAGTTTTTTGTACTTTTTCTCTGAAACTCTAAAATTGAATGTGTGACACTTTTCTACATGATGAAAAGTATTAACTTTGTTTTTCTCATTGCCAGTCTGACTTTTTACTATAACCTCAAGTTAGTAAGTAAATTTTTTTACCTATTTGTTTTACAATTTTGCTGCAATGTTTTTAAATTTCTTGTAGATAAAGGGAATAAATATTCTCGAAAGCTCGACCATATAACAAAGAGTATTCTTTAAACAACTGCCCAGTAATTTGACTGCATCCCCAACAATATTCCGTATTTCTCCTCAACTAGTCAGTCAAGACTATCCTTCGCTTTATCAGCGAGCGCTTTCGACAGCTGATCGTGCTGTCATCCTCTAGGCCCTACTCTATCTGAACGTGTCATAGTCATCTTCATTTTCACCAAGTTGGAAATTTTTTCCCTTACCCTTTCAACTGAGATTCGTCAGGAGGACGAGTGGTTCATAACGTAATGTGTTTTGGTGACGACATAGAGGTCAATAACCTCTAGGCCGCTCTGGCCTTGTGTACCCCTTCCTGACTGGGGTATTTGATGAACAAATTGTTCATTTTAACAGACGCGTTGTGGGGCCTTCACTCAACCGAGCGACGGGGCCTTCTGAATCGAGTGGGGTCGTCTATAGTGTAATCTACAGCATTCACCAGTAATATTACAGCATTCACCAGCATCCTGAGAAGTTGATTTTGCAACCTTTCCAAAATGGAGAGGTTTGACGGGGCGGTTTGTCCCCAAGCACCTGAAGCATACATGATGACAGGCTTGAACATCGTGTTGTATAGTAAAATCTTATTTTTAAGATTGAGTTTTGAATTTCTATTGACCAGAGGATAGAGTTTAGCTATCCTCATCTGCATTTTGCTCTTGATATAATCAATGTGATTTGCCCAGGTGAGTCGGCGGTCTACCCAAAGACCTAGGTACTTGACTCGCGTTTGCCATTCGATCTACCTGCCTGAAATCGTGAGAAACTTTATGTCTCCCCAAGTCTATCGCCTGATTTTTTTCTGGATTCACTGGCTCTTCCAGTCAAGGTACTAGCGTTCGAGGTCGTCCAATGCGCGTTGCATGTAGACGACCCCCAACGCCCGACCCATGGAAGAAGCGAGGAGAGCCGTATCATCGGCGTAAAGGAAAACCTTCACGTGATCGAACCTCGGAAGGTCGCTCACGTAAAGGCTGTACAGGAGTGGAGACAGCACAGCACCCTGAGGCACTCCAGCTTCGATTTCCCTGACGGGAGACAGGATTCCTTCAACTCGGATCTGAAATGTTCTTCCTTTCAGAAATTACCTAATCCACCGGACCAGACCCCGAGGTAAATTGAAATCGAGCATTTTTTGTAGCAGGCCTTCGTGCCAGACTCGGTCGAAGGCTTTCGAAATATCCAGGAGGACGAGATGGACTGCCTTCCTGTTGTTCAGCTCTGAGATGGAATTTTCAACCAGTCTCAGGGCCTGCAGCTCGGTGGAGTGTGCCCTCCTGAAGCCGAATTGTTCGTCAGGCAGAACATTTTGATCTTCAACTTCTTCTGTTAGCCTTTGCAGCAGAACACGTTCAACCACCTTAGCCGTTGAGCAAAGCAGACTAATCGGACGATGATTCTGGGGAAACAGCAGGTTCTGGCCCTGTTTCGGAATCATGACAACTACAGCATGCTTCCATCTTCGAGGGAAGTATCTGAGAGTGATTGAGCTGTTGATAATGTCCATCAGCTATCTGATGAAGTTCTCCAGGAGCTGCTTCAACAACCTGTTAGTGATTGAATCAATTCCCGGAGCCTTCTTGGGTTTGGAGGCCCTAATGTACCCCTTCGATTCTTCCTCTGAAGCTGGACGGATCACGTCGTCATCATTTTCCCTA